GGAGCGATTTGGTCGTGTTCCCATCGCAATTGAAATATTCGCACGCGGAATGGTTCTGTAATGGAAAGAACGCTAACAGGAGTCTCATAGATAATTCGAAAAAAATCCTGTTGTTTGGTCAGCAGATAATGTTAGTATCAATAAATTTGAAACTAGCACACGTGCTTTTATAGCAAATTTATTAATACATAGTATATTGATTTTATTATTTTTTATAGTTGTGTTGCTTTTGGTTCCATTTTTCTTTTTAGATTGTATATTATATATTTTATAATATCTATGTTTTAATATTTTTTCAAATGTATTTCATTATAATTCTTTTAAATATTTATAATACATTTGTAATACTTTTTCTACGTGGTAAATTGAAGCTTGATTTTAGGATCGAATGGAAAAGGGATTAGTTAATTGCGTTTGACAAGTATACACGTGACATTAAAGCTTGAAATGATACTAATTCTTTCAACGATGAAGTCTTTATTTTCTCACATAAACATAAGTGCATTCTTTTATTTCACAAAAAGCGCAAAGATTTTTTAAACTAAATTCTACTGTTAACAGGTTAATCTTCTAACAGGAAATTAATATTTCTTTCTACCCCACTGTGTATACAAATATTATACAGGCAACGAATATCGTTGTATGGCAAGGGGTTAAAGAAAAAAAAAAGAAAACTGACAACCCGTGCGCGGAGGCTTTAATTCACGCGATTCCAGCTGTCTCGCTTACATGAAAAACAATCGCTGAGGGAGGTTAACACATTCCGCCGGAGAGCTCTCAATATCCGTAGCAAAAACCGCGCCCTGCGTTTCTAGGGTTTCGCTGGCCGAGAGTCGGAGCTCCACTTCGCAGGTGTCACAAAAATTTCCTCGAGATCGATTCCGGCGACTAGTCCGACCGCATGCCAGGAATTCTTAAATGATCCTCGCCAGCCGGACAGGATGATGGAAGGGAACACCGAGGAAAGCGGCGACTAGAACGGTCGGCGCGACGGAGCGACGGGAACGGGGACAGAGGGGGTTAAACTCTGCGATTTTAATTAATGTCGCTAGGCTCGTCGACGATCCACTTTAGAGTGGCACCCCTCTATCGTAACGTAGGATCTTTCAATCGCGCGGAAACTTTCCACGTTAATTATTTTACCGTCGAAGCTCCTGTAAGAGCAGACTGGCATCGTTGCGGCGGGGGTTGACGCGGAGGGACCGATACCCCGAGAGTTTTCTGCGTTCGCAGCGCTTCGAGCGCAGGAAAATTAGAAACCGAACGCGGAAGAAGAGATCACGCAGGTTGAAAACTTTTCACCCGACACTGCGATCTCGTTTCGCGGTTTCGATTTGTAGAAAAGTTTTGGAGGACGACACGCAGAAAAATATTCAGGGATGGGGTGTTTCTTACTTGGAACGGTATAGGAATAAGGGAATTTGTAATATCCGGTTTCCTGGAATATTGTTTGTGATTGTTATTTGATCTATCGAATGACTGGATATCTTTGAAGTTTTTGGATACGCTTCCTGTGTGAGTGTAGGATTACGAAAATAATTTTCGAGTGCTGGAATATTTGTTGTTAACTGTTTTATCAGGGGAGATTTTATAATAATACTGATTCTGAATAAAGTATTGAATGTGTGAATGTAAAGTACAAGCTACAATATCGGTAGTATAATTGCAAGTCTAATTGCAATGATTTATATCTAGATTTCGACTTATGGGGGATTTTGGTTGAGTTGAAAAGATAAGTTTAATATTACATAGATATTCATTCCGTTTCGTGTTGTATAATTTTGTTTTAACTTTTCGATGTATATAAATATCTTTTGTTATATAATATTTTAGTCGAATCTTTGGCAGTGAAATAAAGAAACGAAATTTATGGAGGAAAATATGGGAGAGTCTGTATAAAATTGCTTGGCGAGTGTGCACTCAACAGTTTGGAAATTGGAAAAGTGTAAAAAAGTACTTTTTTACGAATTTTTTGCCTCTTACACCTTAATTGTGCTGAGCGTGTTCTCGTTTCTTTCTTCCTCTTGTCGGGATCCAACAAAATCGTGGAAATACGCACGGTCGTTTAAAATATTTCACACTAATTGTAGCAAAGTTTGCCTTCGTACGTTGGCTCATTATGTAACGGATAGCCGTGGAATCCCGCGAGCCAAGCGCGCCATTAATTTCAACCCTTACGATCCGGTGTAGCTCTTATGTGATGCTTCGCGTATTCCAGTTGTGTTTTTATCCCTTTTTAGAAGGACAAAACAGTCTGGTTGCTTTTTGTTATATATATATATATATATATATATATATTCGAATATATCTACATATTTTGCGAAGTAAATTAAAAATGAACACAAGAAAATTATTAAAATATAAAGAACGTACGATGAAAAAATATAATTGTTTGAAAATTGGTAGAATCTTTTACATTTGATAGACATGGTTACGTTCGACCTAATTGTTCAATGCAAAATATAAAGAAAAATGTTCGTAATGCATGAAGAAAAATTATGTTAATTACATAAATATTTCATAAACATATTTCGTTTCGTTTACGCAGGATATGCATAGAAAATAAACATTTGTTTTATTCCATAACATTTGCATGTGTATCTTTGAAATTTGTTGAATTTTTTAGACTCAAATGATAAAAAACGTTTTAGAAGTTAGATAATTAATTTAGAGAAGAACAATGGGCCAACAGTATAAATATATAAATAATTTTAAAACCTGAAATGAACGAAACTGAAACTTTAGAATTTGAAGCATTCGTAACATTGCTACATATTCCCATCGCATTTCATTACATCGCGATTTCATGAAACCTTATATTTTATTTTGTCGCATACGGTATTATTTGCATAAATCGAAAATTCACATTAGTTTTTGCAGCATCAGATAAACATATAAATTCCAATTGTATTTTTCGCGAGGTCCCAGATCTGACGACGCCCCACAGAAAGTAATCAGCAATAGTCCAATATACGAATAAAACTACGAACAAATTTATTCTGTTCACTTTAAATCTTCCACCATTATATTTTATAATATTCCTTTGTCACGTGTTCTACATTTTCATTTCTTCCAAATATAGACGATCATTTCATGCAGTCCAATTTCTCTAACGTGCTCGAAAAATATCAATGAACATTACTCTTACCGTGTAAAATGAAATACTTCAATAAAATTTACATACATTGTATCTCTCAAATTCAATTATTCACTTACTTCCATATTCTTAAACAAACCTCTCAATATTAATAAATATTCTATATGTCAATCTATCGAAAGAAGAAAGAAAAATAAAAAAATAAATAAAGACTTTTTATAAACCAAATAAAAAAAATGAATAACTATGTAAAAATAAAATGATATGAAAAATTAAACGAGAATAATAAACGTTCGATGTAAATGTTTCATCGATCCTAGCTTCCGTAAAGTATAATACCGTCCACATTCGGCTGACCACGATTCCTATTAAAAGAGTGAATATTTCAAAATGTCCACTTACGTTTACACAGGGTGCCGGCTGCGTTGGCTTTTAGTACAAATTTTGCGGTAGACTGTATTGCTCGATCAAATTTGCTGGCGAGCCTACACGGTTTCGGCGCGGGCGGCCGGTGCACAGTGATTCCGCCGGGCTGAAATTTGGATTGTGTCGAATTGGTTTCAACAGCCGGCCCGGCTCATTTGTTTTCCATCGGTCCGTCGTGTAACGCGGACTGTTCGTTCGTGCGTGATGTTAACAGAGAATTCGGTTTTTCCCCCCGTACCTTCAGAGATTATTCTCGTGGAGGGTTTCTGTGCAGCGTCGACATGCACTTACCCTCGGATAGACAGACAGGGTTCCTAAAGGGTGATCCCATGACAGTAATCCGATACTTGACCGATACAGGTCGTTGCGTGGGATATGAAACACGTGTTTCCGTGGGCGACGGACCCCGGCCACTTTTGGAATATTTATCAATATGTGTATATACCGGGAAGCGACACGTTGCTGCGTCGGTCGTCTTTCTAAATATGAATTTTACCATTAACATTATCGATCGGACAGCAACCATCAACAGGTTGCGTTTTACGGTTTTCTTTTGCGCTGTTTAACGGTGAAACCACCGAGCGATTCGAATTACTTGTTTTCAATTTTTTGGAAAAATTAGAACGACACGTTTTTTGAGATTCGAAGGGTCTCCTAGTCTTGTATCTGTACAAACACACAGGTGCAATTAAAAATCTTCCTCAGAAGCGCCTTCGTAATTGAAATCCTTGCAAAAGAAACCTGCTGAATTGAAGAAAAGTTATTAGAGGGAGATGTTTAAAATAACCTTCAAGTCGACGTAATCACTGTTTTCAAGTATATTACGAAAATAATTTTTGAGCGCTGCAATGTTTGTTGTTAGTTATTTTATCAGGTACGGAGAGGTTTTTAATTTCAAGTAGTCCATGATTTATTTCTAGATTTTTACTCATAGGGAATTTTGACTGAATTGAAAAAATAAATTTACTATTAACCTAGATATTAACGTAGTTTAATATTTGACACTGACGCAGATATTCATTTCGTTTCGCTTTCTATAATTTTCTTCTAACCTATCACTAAAACATATACGAATCTTTTACTACGTAATATTCTACTCCAATTTTTGGCGATAGAATAAAGAAGCAAAATCTACGCAGAAAAATATATAATCATACTCTGTAAAAAATTCCTTAGCGAATATGCGCCCAACAGCATAGAAACCGAGGAAACGTAAAAAAGTGCTTTTTTACCAATTTGTGCCCCTTCTACGACAGTGCGAATCTACATGAAACGAACGCACAACAGAAATACAACGAGACCAGACCAAACACGCTACGGTCCGAATATTTTCGTCAGAAATTCCCTAAAATATATCGCGTTCTGGGTCTGGGTTAGACAAACGAGTGGCGTGAGTGCCTTTCGGGTGGCGAGGATTCTTTAGGGTTCGCTCGTACCCGAGCCACGGAAGCTCGGTCAGTGTCTCGGCCACCCTCGTGCCGTGCAGGTTTGCGAGGGAGGAGACTGGTTGTTCCCGGCATCCCCTCTAGATGTACATACACATCCCCTCCCCTCATCCCGCTGTCGCCTCCACCTCCGCCAGCTCCACCTCCTCCTCCTCCTCTTCCTCCTCCTATCCCTCTCTCGACTTAATGCCAGTACCGAGCGCGCGCTTTCGAACGACGCGCTTTCGTCGTGTCGGGCCGCTTGAGGGACGATCAGTCTGTTCTCCACGTTCTCCACGCAAGGACGATCTCTCGCCGCCGGCGATCCGGCGAGTCCTCTAATCTGTGACACGAACTTTGACCGCGCGCTCTCTCCCGCTGCCTTTCCGACCGCCACCGGGATCATCTCCTTATCGGCGTCGATGACGCGCGCCGCCGAAGCTGGCCGGATCGCGACCGAACCTCAGTTGCGATCACGTACCCGACGCGGCCTGTCGTCGCGTTATGCTCGGACAATTCGACCCGTGACGGTTCTCCCGTGATTCGTCGCCGGCCACGTTACCCGGTCACGTCACTTTTCCACGGGAACGTTTCAACCTAGGATATTCGTTTCGGTTTATCGTTTGACGCCGATACAGACCCCTTAGCCGTAGATAGTTTTTTAGCTTTTCTTTTGTTGCTTTGTGTCCGAACGACAAGTCTGATCCGCTAAGGGTTGCTCGGTCGGGGAGATGAACGGTGTCCTCGGTTTGGGGATGTGATCGGTGTTTCTACCCGGTTAGAGGAGAGTTACCTTGTTCTTACCTGGCGCGGTTTCGGGACTGGTATCAGTGGAGCAGGAGACCAGTAAGTTGAAAGGTGAACCCGGCACGGTGACAGAGATACGAGTGGCAAATGCATCGGTGCAGACGGTAGTACGAGATCGGTCTTTTATGGCCTAGGTGACCGCGCGAGGGTGAACGTTCGTTTTGTCGTTTGCGCGATCGGCGATACCGAGATGAGACTGCTGCAGGTGATCACGGTCCTATGCCTGGCGAGTCGGCATGCCGATTGCCGGGCGGTCGACGCCGATTCCGCGGAGGAGTCCGTGGGAAGGCACAGGCGCAAGTTCACAGTGGAGGAGCTTCTCACTACGAGCTTCCCGCACGGCATCAGCGACGATCTGGACGTGGACATCTGCAAGGCGGGTAAGCGGAGATTTTTCTTGAGGTAGCACGCGTTGGTTGGATGCGGACGAGGCTGCAAATAAACACTCGTCGCAACATTTTTCTACAGCCCTTGTCATGTGATTTCGCAACTGTGCTTGGTAGATCTACTTTGTCGTTAACATGTTCCATACCACCATAAATATTTTGCTTATAAAGTATATTAATCTTTTACATAAAATATTTCATTATATTTCAGTTTTTGTCCTGTGACCACGTGTATCGTAAAAATATTTTCTTAGAAAAATCAGCATGCACCGTATGTGGTACTCGCGGCATTGAATGCGTTAATAATTTAGTGGGAAAGGATTTGATGGTTATTCCATATCTACGTTTAGTTTAAAGGTTGAAGATTGATAATGGATAGTGGAAAAGTAGATAAATAACATTTTGCTTTGGCGAATTCGGTTCGAAATTTTCGTTGCAAGTTTAACTCGATATTATAGGAGAAGGAGTTAATAAATCGGAAATTATAAGTTAAAGATTGAATTCGCGTGACGTGCCAGTCAAAGTGTTGTAGAGATAGTCTTTGTTGTTAGGTTGTCCCATAAATTTTTTTCGCGCGTTCTTTGCAGTGTTTTGGGAAGATGTATATTTCTGGATAAATGAAGAAGGATGATAGACCAAAGTGGATCATATATATTTCATAATTTAATAAATAATGTAATACGTAATTTAAAACAAAATATTGTGCATCCATTATGTATTAATAAAATGAAGGAAACTGTTGGGCTGAACTAACATTTGGGATACACGACTTTTAGGGTATCTAGAATATATTAAATTGACGATAATTCGATCACAGGGAAAGATCGGATGTATTTAAAAAAAACGAGAGTTTCGATTTATTTTAAAATAAATCAAAGCAATTTATTTAAGTGAAGGAAATGGACCGATAAAATGATAATTATGATTTATTGTAAAATCGTAATTAAGTTATAAGCTTTATTCCAGTACACTTGAAACTTCATGAAAATGTGCTCAAACTATTCCAGACTTACTCTATTATAATTTGTTAATTTGATTAGACAGTTTAATTACTTTTTAAACTGTTTTCGCTTAAAATACTTCGCAGCTATTGAAATAATGTTCGTTATAAATTGAAGGATATTTTATGTTTTGAAATTATATACAAAAACCTGAAATTCAAATTGAATTTCGTTAAGTTTAATTGGAAATAACGTGTATGCAATGTGTAACGTGTTCGTAGATTTTTAATGAAAGGTGTATACTTTGACACATTCGTCATTGCATTTGCTTTGAAAGAGAGATCTCATTAGTTTGCTGAGTGTTACACTATGAGTTGCAGTTTTATTTAAAAGCGCAAGTAAAAGTAATGTCATTATTTTTGCGAAAAGTATAAAACTGTGGTTGTTGCAAATGTGTGAAAATGATGGCGAACGTGTTGAAGTACCCCTGGAATATACATGGGAAATTATCGCATCCTATCCTACTGGGCAAATATAATATCAATAAATCGTTACACATTAATATTTCTGTTTTTTCTTTCAATTCGTTTTTCAACAATATTTTAAATTTAATTTGAATTCGTTTTAAGGAATATTTTCCATACAGACTTTCGATACACTTTTTTTTTTATATACTCTCCCTTTCTGTTTTTCAATTATGCTTTAATACGTATTATTTATTTACTCCTCTTTTCTTTTTTCATGATTCCTATTTACAATAGTATTTCAAATAGAAACAATTAAAATTAGTATCAATGTCACTTTGAAATTTAATAATATCGAGTATTTCTGACGGTAAAACTTATTACATGATGAGTTAGACACAAATTGCATTTGAAGAAATCTAGTAACACTCTTTCGAAGTGATGCTTGTAATTTTAGAATGTTAAAACAGCTTATAAATTTGAATTCAATATCTTAAAGAACCTTTCAACATAAAAACATAGTGAGAATGTTATTTCAAACAGTTATCGGTACCTATAATCGCAATTAATTGTACGATCAATACTACGATCAAAATCGATAATGAATTAAGAATACTGAATTGGTTATTTCAAAGTAAAAAAAATTGTATAAATTACATATTAAATGGAATAGATAAATATTTAACGAGCAAGCGTAGTTGGTAAATTGTTTTTAACACAAATATAATGGTAGATAAAATGGTCATTCTTGGTAGCACGATTATGTAAAATACAGATCTATGTTTCGCGACGGAACTGATAAAAATACATAAAGTATCACTCGAATAATGAATGAAGAAGAAATTTTCCCTCGTTTTCTGTTAGTTTCGTAACGCTTGTTGCGAAAAGACTACCGAGAATCGATTGATTACAAAAAAATACAACA